TGCATTTGTTGATTAGTTCCAGTCGCGACAGATAGCTCAGTCTTTATCCGGTCGAAATTTTATTGTTTGGAATCGGTGGAAAAGTACTCTGAAGGCAAGCAAGATCCATAAGACTACTTTATTCATCAGGGGAAGTACTCGAATTAGTCGCAAAACAAGCACGCGACCGCAAATGCTAACTTAGAATAATGTACGTAATTTAAATATTCTATGAAACTTGAGAGACTACAGAAACTGGCAGCGTCACGCAATGTATAAACAAATCATGACCTCTTCACTAGCATGGACTTTGACACTATGCATATCTGACTGTAAAACCTCGGTTGCTGCTGAAAAATGTTGATTTTAGCAATAGACAAAGGTTGAAAGTCAGCTAGTGAAATCATTTATTTACGATATATAATTATATATTAAAGTGAGAGCGTCGAACGCACTCTCATAATCTCTGATTACTACTAGTATATGCATGTAAAATGCCTGTAAATAAATTGCATATCAAGAATAGATCTCTGCATAAATGCATAATTACGTCTTATTACATGACTTGAAACGCTTCACCTCATTTGCATTGATAGTACAACCAAGCACGAAATCTAGTCCCTCTTGATTTCAAACAACTACTGCCTCGCTACTCAGTGTACCTTGGGTTCGAAGAATTACCCTTCAAGGGTAGAAGATTGATATATTCCCTGGTGTTGTTTACTCCTTCCATATAGCACGCACAGCTCTCATATCCTTCAGCTGGAACGCATTCAAGAGCGATGGAGGTACAACAGACGGCCGCCAGTAACATGCAAATGGCCAAGACTTCTTGCTTATTTGCCATCTTTCTCATGAATTATTGAATTTTCGTGCAAACGCCACAGGAATATCACAGAAATATTACGTTTCGATGCTCACGTGAGTGTCAGATTTAACCAATCACAAAATGGGTACGGTGTGAAGAAAAAAAAAAGAGTAACCAAGAAAAAATCTTGTTTCTTTTAGCATTCGTAGCTCATTCGACGATTATTTGCTTTTCGAAAGTTTCACCGATTTCTGAGAAAAATTTGGTCTTCAAGACAAACATTTTTTCTGAGAAAATGACCTTATTTTATTCGTTCGGTCACGTGATAGGGAATGTAAAACAATTTTTCATTGGTCGAAATGTATTCAGCACCAGTTTCTCTCCGACAGCAGACATAAACATGGCGGCTGAAAGCATGTGTACACAAGAGACAAACTCAGGTTGCGTCTTTTAGGGTTAGCCTATTGTGTCCCGTCAAAGCCGGATAACGGGGGTAAAATTCTTTAATCGAAAGTGAAAGGACGCTAGACTACGGAATATGGTCGCTGTATAAAGGAGACTCGTGTAATAATTTAGACAAAAGTTGGTGTAATTGAGCTAAATTCCTTGGATAACGCAGTCCTTGTTCGATTTACGAGATAAAAAGAAGTTTCGTTGATATTGGATACTTGCGAACGTAAAACCGAGGAGTTTTCTTGCTGACGGCATCATAATCTCGCAGAAATGGAGGAAAGTTGCTTGGAAAGACAAGAAAATGAGCTACAAGCTCTTCAAGCTATTTACATGGACGACTTCCAAGATTTGCGGGAAAAGGTAAGCTTTGATCAATGGATTAGTGTACACTGTACATGTACAGGTAGTGTGACCTTACAAGCGTTGACCACATTTGTTGAAATAATCTCACCATTGAGTGCAAGAAGGTCTTACTTAGAATACTGCTTTAATATGTGTACAATTTCTTTAATTAACGCGAGAGAAATTTAAGCTTTTGTGAAGGAACAATTATTGACAAGATACGCTGTGTAAAGGTTAAGTCGCTCACGATCTTGAATACATGTGCACCGAGTATTAGGCTTCATTAGTATTCTTACTAGCACTTTTACTTGACTTGATGGGAAGTAAATAATGGTGTTATTCATTTGTTGATTGATTAATTGACTGCTTTTAGCTATTTCTGGTCAGAATGTTCAAATATTCAGACTAATTATTAATTAACTTTCAAACCTCATTACTGGCAACGTAAAACTTGCCACAGGAACGAATCTGAGTGTCTAAATTACTTTGGTGTTTTTTTGCAGTTAGATTTGTTAGGACCAAGTGAACTGTTCATATTTTATGCATGATATGTGCGTTTTAATTTAACCTCGGTTTGGCTCTTTTAGGCCTCTTACAATATAGTCTGCTAGTAAGCAGTAGAACTACATTGTAAGTAGCACAAAATTAAAATTCAAAAAGGCCTTGCTGAAACCTGAGGTTAGAGGCAGCCTTGTAAAATGATAACAAGGTGTTGAAATATCTCCGAGTTGTAGAGATTTTCCAGTAAGAGCTGCTAAGGATTTGACAGATGTTTAACCAAAGCAACCTGTGAATACAAAATGAAGCTTGTTGCAGTGTGCACGTTGTGTTTTTTATTGACCATTTTTCCATTTGATATGTACATGCAATTTAATTTCTCCTTTGTAAAAAGCCTGATAAGCCACCGAAAGTGTGTTTGAAACTGACACCGCTACAGAGTGTTGTAGCTAAGGAAGTGCATGCCAGGATTGACTTGATTGTACAGTATACAGCAGACTATCCTAATCGGTAAGTTATACAGTCATGTAGGTCTGAAATTTTGTATGTAATAGAGCTGTACTCCAATTAGCTACAGACCCCGGTTTTCTACATATATTAAACAATTAGATTATGAGCTCGAGATTTCTATCGTGTGATAGTTGACAAGGCACAGCCCATGTCAACTATCACACATTGAAATCAAGAGTGACTAATCTAACTGTTTTAGTGTAAATCTACTAGTGTTCAAAACTTTATCTAAATCCTCTTCACAGACACTTCAAAAATGCTAAGAAGCGGCCATCATTTTGTTAACAAGGGCTCAGTGCTACACTACTCACTGTCTATCACAGAATAGATAGTGGGTAGTGTAGCCAATCAGAGAACAGCATTTGTGATAGAACGCTAGTAGATTTATACTAATAGTGAATATATTGTTGGCAAGGTGCAAGGTGCAAGGAAGTAAATTATTGGTCTTTCATACATATAGGAAACAAGGCTGAGGAGTCAAATTGTTTCAGTAAACTCTCTAAAGGAATGAATCAAACTACCATTTTTCGTATTGCATTTTGTAAGCCAAACATCAAGAATGATTTTTCATTTCAAGAGTAATGAGCTTGTAAATTATCATATTTTTATTTAGCAAGTACTGTACAAGCAGTACCAACCAGATTTCTGGACTTTCAAATACTGATACTGAGTGACCATTAAATATTTATTGTCAATTCTGTGATTCTGCCAGCAGCCATTTGAAAGAATAATAAAATATAATATGATCTACATAGAGCAAAGAAAAGATGCTATGTTATTATTGTTATATATTAAATATGTTAATATAAATGTCTTTCAATGAGAGAAATTTAATTGTGAATGCTTGTTGTTGTTGCTTGTTGTTAAGTACTCTTCTCCACTAATTCTCAGGGGTTTCAATAAAATTTGAAGTAGACAGCCAGTTGGAGTAGACTAGGTGACGGTATTAAGAAGGGGCTGTAAGGCACCTTTTGCTAGGGGGTCTGGGGGCATGGTCCCCCAGAAATATTTGAAACATGGAAGCTCTGAAACACTATTTCCAGCGTTCTGGGCACCAAATTGTGTATAAAAATAAGGACGATTTCTTACCAGCAATAACGTTTTTTTTTTATTACTTTTACAATCATCGTGATAAATTTTAATTTTGTTTGAGAGAATCGTTCTTTAAGTACTTCAATGGAGAAAAAAAGTAGCTGACATCTCTGATCGAAGTAGCCGACGCTCTTCGTCGGACTTCGGCGCTTACACCTGAATTCTCAATGTGATGACTCATTTATAAGGGTTGTGAGCCTTGTACTACAACAAATGACTGCCATGTCTGAGTATTGTCTGTGTTTGACAGGAGTCCCAAGCTATCGCTGTGCAATGCTACAGGCATATCAAATGAAGATGTGAGTGAACTACAGAATGAGCTGCGACGTATGGCAGCCAATCTCGTTGGTGAGGTAAGGTGTACATGATAGGTGTGCAGAGATTGGACTGCTTAAACTACATGTATTGTAAAATTCTTAAATCTCCTGGTTCAGGGTATGCAGACTGTAGTTTTCTGGGTAGCAAGACTTAAAGTTTGCAGTCACTAGGTCACCATTGCATGTGACTGAAAATGGACCAGGGCCACTAATTTTAGGTTAATGATCAATCCTGATTTGTGACCAGTTACATGTAGCTATACAACGCAAAAGAATAGCAGCAACATATCATGAAGTACAAACTATTTACAATTCTACAGTTACAGTGCTCTATGTACACACCTTACTGCTACCACTTGGGAAAGTTTTTGATTACATTTTGACATCTTTTTAACAACTTTTTGCATGCTTCTATTTAAACTGGCCAGTCAAAATGTGGGAACTGTAAAGGGCAAAAAACTGATCAATGGATATCGTTTTAAATTGTCAAACTCACCTTTCACTCTGCTGAGATTTTCAAAAGCCTCAGCCAGCTAATGTTTGAAACTGGTGGCAAGTTGTTGCAGTCTGAATGGCCATACATGTACATGTATGAAATGGAAGCCATTAGAAGTTGTCAAAAAGATGTCAAAAAGTTGTCAAAAACCTTCTTAGGTAGCAATGGTGAGGTCCATAGCACTGTGAAATTAAAGTAGATCATAATTTCATCAGACTTCGTTTTCTTTTTTTTTATCAATTCTAAAGTTGTTGACTGGGGGGGGTTAAGACCTTACATGTAAGAGGAAAAATTACGAGCAGTTTGCACATGTACATTTGAAAGTACAGTTTCAGTTCTCTTGTAATGAAGTGTGCATGCCACTGTACCTTGTTAATCATCTTTACTTTTTGTTCACACTTCAGGTAATGGTCCTTCAACTAGCACATCATGTTCAAGAAGGTCTTCACAAACACAACAAGCCACAGCTGTCCTTTTATGACAAAATGATGGCAAACAAGCGGAAAGAGGAGGAAAGAATCTTAGCTGCAGAGCAGCAGAAACTACGAAAGGAAATTGAAGCCAACAAAGAAAGAGAAGAAGATGAGGTTAGTCTAAGGATATGTAGAGATACACCTCGTACTAACCAAGTTCTCGGTCCATAGTGTGATACGGATCCTTGTTTTTCTCCTTCGATTTATGACCCAAAGGGTGAAGTACCTTGGCCATAAATCAACAGGGGGAAAATGAGGATCTGTAAGTCACAGTGTGGCCCGAGAACTCCGTTAGTAAGATATTTATTATACCACTACGTAAATGTTTGTCTGATGAGTTCTGGAATGAATTCTATTCGCGTTGAATGGCTTCAAATGACTGACACACGTCGAAAGCAAAATGAGTCAAATTGAAATCTTTGTTAAGTCAATAGCATGTTTAATACACAATTACTTAAAGTAAAAGAAAGTTTTAAACTTTTACTTGTTATAAAACTTAAGAACACTTGGCGGTAAATCAGGAAACATTTTGGCAGCAAAAACATCAGTTCTTTAAATTTTAGTGGGCCATGCTGTAGAATACAGCCCACTAAATTGGCCAATCACTGTGTGCGTAGTACCTGAGAGATATACATGTACTGTAATAAAGCTTTTTACTGCACGCTAGGAAGTGAAAATTGAATCCCAGTCAAAAATAGCATAGTTTACATGTTTGTATTCTGTCCTTTAAATCACTCCAAATTCTTACTAATAGAGTCTGAGTTATGATTCCACATTTCTTCTTTACTACTGTAGAAACGTGAAATAGAAGAAGAACTGCAAAGGAGAGGAGAAGCCCTGAAGGAGAGCAGAAGAAGAAGGAATGTTGTGTTACCAGTAAGAAACATCTCTTGTTTTTGGTATTATTTCTGATCAATACATGTTCTTGAACACCCATAAAATTAATGATAACTGTATAATTATGTAGGGCATTTTTTGGAGTATAGTGGAACCCCGCCTTATGACCACCCCATTAATACAGCTACCCCGTTGTTATGGCCACTATATTCTGGCCCAAACAAAAGCTTAGCCACGCATTTTCTTATTTAAAGAACCCCTTTAACAAAGCCACCCCATTAATATGGCCAGATTTTTGTGGCCCATTGCAATTAGTGACCGGATAGATGGGGTTCCACTGTACTTTGCATTGCTATCAGGAGTCAATTACAAGAAAGCTGTAAAAAGTTTCTTATCATCCATTTCTCATCTTTCAGGTTTTTCTCGAGTGTGCTTTGTTTGTGTTTGGGAGTGTGGGGCATCTTGCTGAACATTGCTTAATAGGATATTAGTTAAATTTACATGCAAGTTTTAAAAATGTGTTAAAAAACACTTTCTTTGTTTCACATTCACATTCAAATAAACAATGTTCATTTAAATTAGATTATGAGCTCAAGATTTCTATTGCGTGATAGTTGATGAAGGCGCAGCCCTCACTGATCATCACAGATAGAAATTGGGAGCAAATAATTAATAATAATTATATTGTAACATCAGGGCTATATACATGTAGTTGAAGTTCCCATTAACGCACAGGTGTGTGTGTTATAGCCGCAAAAAATGAAAAGGACACAAAGTGGAAAAAAGTTTCGAAAAATTTTAGTAATAAGCAAAGGACCCCTGAAAAGCAAAAAGAACCCCCAACTCTTTGGAACTGAGGGTCCCAAGGACCCAAAACTAGTGGGTACTCTGTAATATTATATTGTGTTTGATTAGTGTACTGTAAATCTATGTGTACCACTGTAGTTGTTCAAAATTTATCTTTTGAAAATGTAAAGAAGCGGCCACTATTTTGTTGATAAGCAGACACTGCTAGGCTACTCACTATCTACAACAGAATACGATGTAGTAGGCACTAGCAATAAGAGAATGGCATTTCAGGGCAGGAAAAAACCCAGGTCCAATTGCCAGGGCAAGTAAATTTTGCTCTCAGGCAAGTAAAAATGAAAGTTTGGTGGTCCGATGGGCAAGTGAAATTAGCCCCTGTAGTCTTGTTTGTTGACAAGGTATGAACATTGCATGCCTATTGGGCAAGTAACATTTTAGTGGGGGCAACTGGAAACTGAAATGTACTGGCCCACTGGGCAACTGGATTTCAAAATTTTTTTCCTGCCCTGCATTTGTGATAGAATGCTAGTAATTAAAATAAATTTATACTTAGTACAATTAAATCAAATTCACATCAAATTTAATTGGTGCTTAACTTCTTACAAAATACATCAGATAATCTTACCTTACCCCTTGCTATGTTCAGTTTTTAAAAGCTCTTATTACTGCCAGGTTGTGCAAAGTGACCTTCATGTATTTTCAGTTTTTGATAACCTTGTTGATTATGAAATGGCAGGAAAAGAACCCTAAGACAGATCAAGTCACTCAGAGTTCAAAAACACGAGATGGTGATGCCAGCCCCGTCAGCCCAGCTAAAGAAATTCCCACTCTTCAGAGGAAACATTCAGGGAATGCTGTTGCAACATTTCTGCCATCCTCACCCAAGAAAACTGATGGAATACCATCAGGACACAGCATCATGAGACGCCGGCGGAGCTCTGAAGGTTTGACTGACGAGTCTTTCACAGGGACACGAGTGATAAACTTTAGCAACAGAGGGGAACGTGTGGTACATTGTGGAAAATGTCTTGGTGAGTTTGAATTTCGACTGTTCACAGCCATTGATGCTCAAATTATAAAATTATATTTCTCCTATTATTGAATGCACGAAAAGAGTTGTGAGGGAACTGGAGGAAAGCACAATAGTGGACATGCAAGGGGGTCATTTGGGTTGCGGTGAGAAGCAAGGAAAATAGGTTGCGTTTAATCATCTGAGTTGGACAAAAGTGAATTCCTTTTTCTCCAGAATCAAGGAATTCCAACTGGTTGAAAGTAGGCAACTCTTTGTCATCACCTTGACAACAGTCAGAAATTCAATCATGAATACATCATTAACCATGTTCCAAGGCAGTTCATACCTGCTGAATGTTTTTAACACGCAGTTCACACCTGGTGATGTTTTTAAAGCGATAAGTGCGTTGTGTAAATGACAAACTCATGTAAATCAGCACCAACTGGATAAACTGGTTAAACTGGATTTTTGCCTGCTTGATTATAGGTCAGGGGTCATCTGGTTCAAGAGTTTACAGTGCCATGGACATCACTATTGGTGATCTAGTAGTGATGTGTGAGTGGAGTTTGTCTCCACATCAAGCGGGCACCAGACGTACTCTGAGCATCACTGATAACCAGCAGCAGGACCTGCAAGGAAGACTTATGAAACAGGTTTGACTGGAAAGCTACAATGGGCGATAAAAGACAAATGCGACACTTTTCGAAAATGACGCTTTTCGATATTTAATCTCTTATTCTATTTTATTTGCATCCAGCATTAATTCTCTGATACCCGCGGTCCCCCAGTTCAATGTTGTGTAGGTGCTGTGGTCTGTGCAGTCTCAGAAATAGAAAAATCAACATTGTTTGCGGGGGAAAATCGAATCTTTACTTACTGCAAAGTGTCTTAACGCTTTTGTCGCTTATTGTAGGTGTATGATATGCTCACTAACGGTTGGCGCACACTAGGGGACATTTTGCGGGGGTGTGAAGGAACAAAATGGCCTCAATTGTTATTGTTGCATAGCATCAGCTTGCGTGCGGTCCCTGCAGTATGTGTCCCATGCGCATAGACGTAGCGTACCGTTTGTATGCATAGGACACTTGTTGCAGGGAGAGTACACAAGCTGGTGCACATTAAGTATTAGGGAGCTTAAGAAAACCTCGACGGCAATGGCAACTTCGCTAAAGAAAAGGTTTAATGAGGATAACAATGGTTGTACACGTGCGTTATAATTCTTGGTACATTGATTTCTTTGCCGTCCTCTGCAAAACAACAACGTGAAATGATCAAATTCTGCGTTGTCTGGAGAACGTGAACCACGACGGCTAATTTTTTAAATTTTTATTTCGAATTTATCCATGTGTCAGATTCAGTTTCGTGATAGCTTTGATAGCGATAAACAAAGTGTATGACTTTAGAATACCGCGAGATTCGCAGGTAAAATATAAAATGACTTTTTAATCGACGTTGTCCTCGGCGTCGCCGTCGTGGTTTCTTAAGATACCTAATTTTCTCGCGCGCGATTAGTCCTCGAGAGGAACGCCAGGCTGGAGCGCTTTTCCAGTCCCTTGGCACCTCATTATTTCTATTTTGCTTGCCTGATGGCACGATCCTTACAGGGACCACTGAACCACGATATCATCGAATCAGATTTCGCATCTAGGGCCGTAGCTAGAAAAAAATTATGACTTCGGCAGTGACCATGAAAAAAAAAACAACAAATGTATGACTGACGTAGTGTCCATGGTTTAATTCTTTTCCAAGGTATTAAGGGTGTTTACGATGAGTATAAACGACAAAAACGAGTTAGAGCGAGCTAATTAGAGCGAGCATCATAAGCTTGCAAGGCTACAGCCGTATGAAGCTAGTAGCCTGTAGATAAATGACAAACTTTCGTGTTTACGTGGAGTGTACCTTTGTTAATTGTTATAGACCTACTGTCATTGTTTTCTTCCGTTGGTAGGTTTCCAGTATCGAGCAGGAGATTTTGTCCCTAATCAACAGAGTTAGTCATCCCAATCTGACTCATTACTTAGCTGTAAATGTCCAAGACTCCGCCCCTACTGTTAACGTCCAGGTAATGAGCAGTAGGTAGATTGTAATTTTAATTTTCCTCTACCCTTTTGTAGCAAGTTCAGATGGCCAGGGTTATTGATCTTCCAAGATGTATTTTGGTGAGCGAACACCATCTTGGATTCAAACACGGACTTCCGCATGAAAATGTCGAACTTGATAGTTGTACAAATGTTACGCTTAAGAGGTTGAAGACCACATGATTTTACGTGTTTATTTCTAACTATTCAGTGTCATATACAAAGAATCAGTAAATGCTGGTAAGATATTAAATGTATTATAGTTATACTATTCTATTATAGCGCTTTGTCATTAAAGATTGAAATTGTATCTGAGCTCGGACGAGTCTCGTAGTGTAAATGAACACCGTACACGTAGCCGAAGAGGCCTGGGGAGAGACAAGAAAGAATCCTAGGGAGTTGGAGTGAGGCTGAAAAAGGAGTAAGGGGGAGGGGGAGGAAAAAGACGGCGTAAGTGATTGCTGCTAACAATCAATCTTGTTTTAGCGCAAGAGGAAAAATTATTGTACTGGTAAGGAAAAGCAATTAAACACCTTAAGTTGCTTTGAATGGGAAAATAAATCTCAAAACGACTTACAACGGTCAGTCAAATAAATATACTTCTTCTTCTCTTTCATGCAGGTTTTGGCGGAGTATGTCGGCGGTGGAGATCTCGGTCTCCACCTAAGAAATGGAGGTCTGCCGTTAGCGCAGCTGCGAGAGTACACACATCAGCTTGTGGAGGCCCTTTGCTATCTTCATGGCAAGGCTGTAGTACATAAAGATTTGAGGGTGTGTATTATGCACATGCGCTGTTTTCAGTTTGTTATTAGGGAGCTTAAAGGAGCTCAGCCACGTCACGCGGTCCCATCCCGAGGGCGTCAAATTTTTTCTTTCAGTTCAAATCTAAACGTAATGTATACGCTGTTTCCCTTTTTCGCAGTTGACAAGTTGCCGTCTGGACTCGGATGGGAATTTAAGACTTGCTGACTACAGCGTGGGAAAAAGGTAAGCGTCTCTGGTCATTTGTATATCTCATTCCTCTTGTCACTTGGTTGCTCTTCAAACGGGTTTTAGTGAGTTGAAACGATTGTGTGCAGCTACATGTACCACTATTTGCGTTTCTACTGACAAATAGCAATATATACAACAGGCTTTTGGCAGAAAGCACCCGACTTCACCTTTCGAAGCAAAGGTAAAAACGTTTCCTTGCAAACTCTTACGAAAACCGTAGATTCGAAGTAAAATAACGTTCTTAGAAAAGAGTCATCACACAAATTGGGACCCGTTTTCGTAGTATAGGTTAGTGTAGTCTGTGTCAAACAATAGTTTTGACATAAAAACCGCCAATTGCCTTAAGATTGGAACTAAAAGTTGACTTAAAATATTTTAGGCTGTCGGATTTGTATCAAGTTTATGGTGGTAACACGAAGGACGTGCAAAGTAATACAGGTGAAGAAAACAAAACAACTTCACGTTATGGAAAAACCGGCGACATTTACAGTTTGGTAAGTTGAGACGTGTTTCTGTTAGAATAAAAATAAGAGCTACAGTACCAGAACAACAGAAATATCAGCCTTTAGCTGAGCAAGACTGGAAAGCTTAAATTCCACGAACAGCCCGTGTTTCCTCCAAGCCGAGCGCAACGCGAAAGAAGGAGTGAAGGAATACAGGCCGCACTTTCTTTGGTATCATACTCGGCAAACTTAGAGAAACAAGGGACTTCTCATGTAGGCAGCTCGAGCTTGGTTGAGAATGTAGTTTGTTTTGATAATCTGCTAATGTGGTTAATGAGACTTTTATTATTTACAACTTAATGACCGAAAAGGAACTGTAGAAACTTAAGATCTTATATTCAACTGAGAATAGAGTATACTACTTGGCTGATTTAAGTTATTTTGCCTTTAGTCATGTATCGAGACAATGTCCTGAGTTAAAGAATTTTGACTAAGATGCAAGACATACTTTGAATTTAACTCCTCTCGCGGACACTCTCACGAAGATTGATGTCGTAGTCTGTTTCCCTCGCCAATGAAAGCCACTGCAGTGCTGTTGCTATTATTGCAAGTGAATTCTGCACGGATCTCGATGCGTTCGAGCCGCAAGGGACCAAGACCAAAGGACGATGCACTTCCAGTATGGTCCTTGCACGTGGTTATAATAAGAAAGAGATGTATATGTATTAGGTTCTCAGTTTGGTGGTGGGATTAAACTATACAGTTATTATATGCTGTGTAGCTAAGTAATGGAAGTTTTTTGTGTGTAGGGTCTACTTGTGCTTTCTTTGGCTCTTGGAGAAGTGATCACAGGAGACGTGAAGGAAATACCGACTTCTTTGCCATCAGAATTACGTGACTTCCTTTCAAAGTAAGTGTTTCGTTCGTTCGTTCCGTTCGTTCGTTCGTTCGTTCGTTCGCTCGTTCGTTCATTTGTTAGTAGAACATTTCGAAATTTAAATGGTTTGATAAAGTACGTAAGAAGTCTTACCGTTTCAAGGTGGCTCCGTTTTTAATTTGAGCGCACTCTTCTTTTGAGTCATAACAATTTCGGCTTTTTCTCGCGATGTGCACTATGGCCAAGACTCGAACCCAGGCAACTCGAACCCGGCCACTCGAACCCAGGCCACTCGAACCCAAGCCACTCGATCCGGTTTCCAACGCCGTTTCCATCGCGTCTCCGTTTCCATCCGTTTTCATTCGTTTCCATCGCGTCTCCCATAGATCCACATTAAGTGAGTGCGAAATAGTCATTTCCTAGTTGTTAATATCTTCCACAGTTGCCTAAAGGCTGACGAAAGAAATCGGTGGTCCGCTTCTCAATTACTGGAACACTCCTTCATAACTCCAGTTATTTCCAATGGCTTGCCAAATGGCCATCAAGACGCAGTCAGAAACAATGGTATCGTAGGGGATGACGGGCCATCATTCCTAGTTGACCAGCCAGAGCGTGAGGAGCCTGTGCCCGACTTTTCATTTTTTTCGGGTGTTCCTGGGAAATCTCGCGTCAAGTGCGAGTTTGAAGAGCTGCAGTTTCTTGGCAAGGGAGGCTTTGGCAATGTCATTAAGGTTGGTGCACTTTTTGTTGTTATTAAAGGAACGAAAACGGGAGTGATCAGCCCAAAAGTTTAAAGGAGCTCAGTCACCGTTTTTTAGTTATTTTTCCCACCTAGAAAATTGCCTTTAAATTGAAGGAAACCTGAAAATAATAGTTTAAGATTGCAAAACACAAAACATAAGAGAATAAACCAAAACGGAACAAGGATGGTTAAGGATAGAGAAGATTAACACGGATTACAAACGAAGAACTTGAGAAATTTAGGCTAAACATTTCAAGATGCACTGTGACATAGCTCCTTTGAGGCCCTTCTATACTGATAGGTGTGCGTTTTCCGCTTTTGATGAACCTCATTCCCAAGGTCTCTCCAGAGGGCGGGAAGAGAGACCCTGGGAACCAGGTTGATTTTTGATGAGTTTTCACGTATTGTGCAAACCCAGGCTCTGCCCTCACTAATGTGTTTTCCTTTGATTCCTTTTGCACTAGGTGCGCAATAAACTTGACAACGGCTTGTACGCTGTGAAACGGATTCCTCTCAACCCCAACAGTTCCCAGTTCACCAAGAGGATCATGCGCGAAGTGCAGCTGATTTCCCGCCTTAATCACGAGAATGTTGTCAGGTCAGCGGCTTTGTCTTAGGACCCTACTGAGAGAGGGACAAGTACTTAAGTCACAGAAATGCCCCTTGCCGCTCTAAGTTTCGAACTGTTTGTTATTCGTATAATCCTTCCACAGTTTTGACTTTTTTTGGTTGTAATTATTATTCATTAATTATAATAATTAATTGATGATAATTAATGACTTAATTAATAATTTGTTATACTTAATTAGGTCATTAATTTTTGATTTATTATAATTATGATTAGTAATTAATTATATTTGTAATGAATTATTTAAAGGGTACGGTTACTTTATTAGCCCTGCTTCCTCTGTGGAATCATTCGATATTTTGCGCTAGATCTTTTTTTCCTGCCCTACAGGACGCATACTAGTTATATTGGGTATTTTGGGACTGTTTTGCGTAAAAGACTCCGACTTGATTTGTTAATAACGTTAGTTTGGTCTTTTGCTCGTAGGTACTACAACTCTTGGATCGAAAACGCCGAAGAACAAGAAGGCGAGAAAACTCAATCAGTAGATGACAAAGCCGCCCAAAACCTCCCTTCTGCTGTATCTTGTGAAGACAGCCTCCTAAAGCTAAACCAGATCGAAGCACCGAGCGTAAGAAGTAATGAAAACAATGTAGAAGATTCTTGGTGGCAAGAAGGCGAGGAACCAGATCAGAATGGAGCGGACTCGTCGTCCAGTGGATCGCAGGAATCGTTTCGTAGCCCAAGCAAAACCGCCTCATCTAAGAGTCACAGCGTCTCATTTTTTAGCAGTAAATCGGAATCGTCTGAAGGTGTGGTGTTTATGGGAAATGCTGATGAATCTGTTCTTCAGTTTGGAGACCTATTGGATACGGAGGTATAGCTATTGCGGCTAGAGTTAACGTGTGACATTAAATTTCTGTGGGATCTTTGTTTACAATATGTGCCTCATTAGCTACAGAAACATGAGTTCTGAATATTGAAAGGGCACAGCACGATTAACTGTCCCAAGGAATTTGAGCCGCGGATTTAATACCTAAAATTTTGCAAAGAATGTATCAGCTCATTAGCGCTTTTTCCACCCAGAAATTTTGCAGCTTTTGAAAGCCAATTTCTACTCGAATATTACATCCAAGTTGACAAAAATTTCACCAATTCTAAACCAATTCAATGAGTCAATTCGTGGCTAGCGTGATGCCTTTCCTGCGCTAAGTCGTATGTTAATGAGGAAAAATGTAAACAGAGACGCCAGCAAAGATGCACCTATTGCCACGAATGTCGCGAGTTTTCCAAAGATATTTAAAGGAGCTATGTCACAGTTTGTGCATATTTTAAACTTAAGCCTAAATTTCAAGTTCGACGTTTATAATTCGTGTTAATCTCCTCCATTCTTAACCATCCTTTTTTTTCTTTATCTCTTTAGTGTTTTTTTTTTTATCTTAGTTAACTATTATTTCAGGTTTCCTTCAATTTAAAGGTAGTTTTGTACGTGGCCGAAATATTTCAGAATACCGTGACTGAGCTCCTTTGATCAGTATCTCTGGGGAAAAACGGGCACGAATCGCAGCGATTAACGTGTAAAATTGCCTAGTATGTCGTCCCCCATTACGTTGGCATGGTTAATTTTTGAATTACCAATTGTCTAACCTCTTGTTTCTCCATGCAGTAGAAATGTTTCATAGTAAATCGGGAAAAGTCACATTTTGAACTTGGAACTACAAGAGAACAAACAGTTAACAACTATTAGACGAGGTTGAGCAAAATACCGTTGTTTGTCAGTGGCGAGCAGATCAAGACACTGACAAATAACGATGTTTAGTTTGCGATACCCGAGTTCAATAATTGTTTTATCATTCGATCAACAAGTTTTTTCATATTTAAATCACTCTCTGACAGCTTAGGGAAGCGATCGGCCATTTTTCTCTCAAGTGTGTGATTACAATTACACATGAGCAGAATATTATTTGAAGCAAAACACATTTAGACGGTATTAAGAATGAGCAGACCATTATTTGTGAGCAGTTATTTTGCAGGTCACGTGGTGGGCTCTCGGCCAATGAAAAGAAAGAAAAAATGTATTGAATGATAATTCTTCTTGTCTCTCCTCAGTCGGATGATTCTGACGACGGAGTGGAATGGCAAGAGACTGGAACCGAGTCCAGTACGGAAAACGTAGGACTGCAGTATTTGTACATCCAGATGGAATACTGCGAGAAAAGCACCTTGAGGAACCTTATTGATGAGGGTTTGCATCAGGATAAGGACCGAGTGTGGAGGCTCTTTAGAGAGATCGTTGAGGGACTGGCCCATATTCACACGCAGGTGATTTTAGCGTTGAAGGAGTTACGTCACGGTTTGCGCATCTTGAAAGGTTTAGCCTAAATCTTTCAAGTTCTTCTTTCGTAATCCGTGATAATCTTTTCCATCCTTAACTATCCTTGTTCCTTTATAGTTTATTGTTATCTCTTTGGTGTTTTTCTATCTTAATAAACCACTATTTTCGGGTTTGCTTCAATTGAAAGGTAATTTTTTACGTTGCCAAAATAACTCAAAATGCAATGACTGAGCTCCTTTAAACAGAACAAGTAGGTTGGTGGCATGCACAATTCAATTTTCACTTGCATAATCTGACTTGGACGTAGTAGGAAGCTATCTCAACTCGACCATTTTGTTATGGAATTTCAAATGATTGGCTACTCCTGAAATACCTTAATAATTTTTTGACTTTGTTTTCAACTTTTGAAATAGGGCATCATTCATCGAGACCTCAAGCCCGTTAACTTGTTTCTAGATTCTCACGGCCGCATCAAAATCGGCGACTTTGGCCTCGCAACCACGCACGGTATGACACGAGGAGGCATGGGCCCTGATTTACCAGATTCAGTTGACAAGACCCAGTCTTCCAAGAGCAGCTCGACCACCAAAGAAAGCATGACGGGTAAAGTCGGCACGGCGTTGTATGTGGCACCGGAGCTGGGTAACCGCCCCGGCGTACGAGTGAAATACAGTCAAAAGGTTGACCTGTATAGCTTAGGGATTATCTTCTTCGAGATGTGTTACAAGCCTCTGACGACCTCGATGGAGAGAGTTAAAGTTTTAGGCAACCTTCGAACGGTATGTTGTTGCATAATGAGCTTCCTCGCGGCGGCCATGCTGGTATTTGCATCAAAGGATGACAGTTTTATTGTTTGGGACAAGAATATAGCCCCGAGGGTCAGAAAAATGCTCTGTTGTAAGAGATCGTTCAGTTTGAGGTTATATCATTTCTGCATTGTGATCAAAATCTCCCCATTAACCCGAAGACCAGCTTAAGTCTGTGGATGAAACCCTAGTGTGTGACCATTCAAATGAAAGCTATTGAGCAGTACTTTCATGTGGTACTGTTTATTATGCTGTACAAGGTGATTCTAACTTTTAAGTCTGTGGGTGAAACCCTGGTGTGTGACCATTCAAATGAAAGCTATTGAGCAGTACTTTCGTGTGGTACTGTTTATTATGCTATATAAAGTGGTTATAACTTTTAAGTCTGTGGATGAAACCCTGGTGTGTGACCATTCAAATGAAAGCTATTGAGCAGAACTTTCATGTGGTACTGTACAATGTAGTCTAACTGTTCAGTCCTGAGATTGCTGTTCGTGCCTGATTCTCTGTAGAACTTCAATTTAGGTTATCTCGATTTGTATCTATCTACGCATAGTTTCTGTTTTATTTTTATTTAAATCCAAAGTTTTCTCTCAATTATAAATTAGTTCATGGGGTTTTTTTTTTTTCTTTCATTTCATTTCAGGAACGAATCATTTTCCCGGGAGAGTTTGACCACAAGCGCCTCGCGAAAGAAACGATCGTCCTCAAATGGCTTCTCAAGCACAACCCCGAGGAGCGTCCCACCTCCCAAGAGCTCCTTCAAAGCCAGTACATACCCCCCAAGATCGAAGACGGCCAGTTGGACGAGGTACTTAAACACACGCTTGCATCAACAAACTCTACTCGCTACCAGCGACTGATGAAAGCCATGTTCTCTCAACATGTCTCGTCAGTCAAGGACGTTACGTACGATATTGACGTCTACGCTGGGCAGGTATCTCCATGCGCGATCCTTGCGCAGCAAATGGTTCACGAAAACGTGAAGTCCGTTTTCCTGCGACACGGCGCGTTGCGGTTGAGGACGTCGTTGCTCGTGCCTCGCACGAAGCTATTTGAGCAGCTGGAACTTGCGGTTAATGTTATGGATCACAGTGGCACGCTTGTCACGCTTCCGTACGATCTCAGGGTACCGTTCGCGCGTTATGTCGCGCGAAACGGCATTGTGCACATGAAGAGGTTTGACATCGGCTGCGTGTACCGTGATAAGCGAATTCTGGGTTCGCATCCCAAAGAATTGTACGAATGCGTCTTTGATATCGTGACCGGTACACCGGAAAACCTCGTTCCCGACGCCGAGGTGCTTCTGTCGGTGGCCGAGATTATCCGAGAGTTTCCGTCGCTGAATTCTCGTAATTACTACATCAGAGTGAATCACGCTGCTCTAATGAAATGTTATTTGGCTTCCGTGGGCATCTCGGACGAGAGACAGTTGGAATTACTAGCGATTCTTCAAGAGATTCGCAGCGAAAAAGACAGAAATGTTCAAATCCACGCGTTCGTCGAGAGCTTGCAGCTCAGCGAACACACAGCTACTGCGCTGTATGACTTTTTGGACTTTGAAGGCCCTGTAAAAAAGTTGCGAGAGCACCTAATCGGGACCATGAAGCGAAAAACTTGGGTCGGCCAGGCTGCGCGCCAGTCGTTTCACGATCTCGAAGAGATCGCGTCGCACGTTGAAGCGTTTGGAATCGATTTACCCGTGGTCGTTGATACTTCCATGGTGTACAACTTCAATCATTTCTCGGGGTTGATTTTTCAGTTTGTGGCTGCAAACAAACGGAAGCGGAAGCGAGGTGGTGTTGACATTCTCGCCGCGGGTGGTCGATACGACAAGCTGATAAGTCACTTCCGTCGAGGAGCAGAAGCTGCTCACCCCTCCCCTGGTGCGGTGGGTGTGAGTATCGCCATCGAGAAAATAGTCGCAGCTGTTCTGGAGGACGAAGAGGACACGATTCCCAGCGCCTATGACGTCTTTGTGTGTTCTGCGGGACACAATCCTATGTTGGCTGAGCGCATGCGTATCGCGCGTGATTTGTGGAAGGCTGGGATCCGGGCAACAATTTGTTATGATTCTAAGGACATGATTCCTCTAGAGGAACTGCAGGAGTTTTGTAAGCAAGGAGGAATTCAACATATGGTGGTTTTAAAAGAACAAGAAACAGGCAGTGTCAGGGTAAGTCAAATAAATGAAGTTTATTTTGGTTTATTTGTCTTTCAGTTGGATTCCTGGAGTACTTAAGAGGTATTTTAATTACAGAATTACTTGGCAGCAGATGTAAGAGGAAAAAAAATGGCGGTTCGGTGGCAGAACACTCAAACAGTGGCAAGCGCGCGAGAATGTGTAACTGGTGGGAAGCGCGGTAAAATATTTCCCAAACCTGGCCCTTCCAGCTGCTTAACGCGGGAAAGCATCTTGTCCATAGCTAGCCCTAGCCCTAGAATCTTAAAGGGAGCCTGTTCATAGAGTAATAGAAAAATGATTTCTGCACTAAATCTTCAACAAACCGTCTTTGGGTGCGTGAAATTGTTAAACTCAAAACTCCTCAATTTGTACCTGCGATTTGTTGTCTTTCTTTGCTTGTTTGTGTGTTTGTTTGCTTTTTTGCTCCATGTAATTTAGATTAGTCAGTCAGTCAGCTGCTTTCCTTTTACTTATAGGTGCGCTCTTTAGACAAAGAAAAGATTGTCGAATCTCGAGTCCAGATAAAGGACCTTGTGGACCATCTTCAAGGGAAGCTCTCCACAAGGCCTGAAACCGCTGAGTCCTCTGCACCCCTTAGTAACAAAGGAACAGGGACACAGAGCGGTAACGAGCCAACTTCTACGTTTGCCCCAGAAATGAAGGTCTCGTTTAAAACACAGGAGAAGATGGCGTGGAACACTAAGAAGAGATACGAGAGTTTAATGATGTCCAGGATAAAACCTTCCCTGACTCACATCAATGCGAAAAGCGCCGTTGAAGTGATCGGGGTTAGTATAAAACCGTTTTAATTTATTCAGTTCTGTTCGTTTGTCATAACGTTTTGATCTACCACTGCTACCAGCAATTCAAGCTCTTTAAAGTCTGGTTTAATCTAATCCACTGCATTAGAGTAGCCAGGTGATTTACAGAGGTGAAAAACTACGATTCTCAGTTGAGTTAGGCATGACGGAAGTTCAAACGTTAAAATTGTGTTGTTGGGCACGGGCAACTGGCTTCGTTGCCAGTGGCAACTTATCGGCGTTTGACGTCATTAGCAGCAAAGCGACGCACGGCTGTTGATATTGTTACCATTGGAAACGAGGAAAGTTACCCGTGACAACAACGTAATTTTAAGGCCTTCGTCACCACAGCTCCGTCGCGCCCTACTCAACTGATAATCGTAGTGTACCGCGCGCTCGCCGGCAGTCTCTGCCAAAACTGCCGTTAGTTATTACGAAAGTTTCAAATTTCCGAAATGCGCCAGTTTCAAGCCATAGGTGAGGACAATAGCTAACCGTCAATGGCAGCTTTGTACAGTATATGCATCGAGGATTTGATAATCGTTACCCTTCTTGTGACCTAGCCCATTATTTGCTTTCGCACGCCTCTTTTTGGAACGTTTTCTCGTACAATTCTTCCGCATTTTCCGACTCTTTCGTAGTTGTTTTAAACTTAGTGGAGTCATATCGTTACCAAAAAAACAAGATACAATACCATTCTATTCTAAAATACAAAGAACGATATACAAAGGTGAAACAGTGCGATTCATTTGCATCTGCTACTCATAGAAAGACACGTGATCCGAGACAAATTTTACGTGGTCCTTGTAATTTCATTTTTGTCCAGCTTACGTCCATCCTCTCCATCGCAAGTCCGCGCCACCTTTTGATGAGTTCAGGTCGTTTGCCGCAGACTCCTCTACAAACTGTAATAATTGTTTTCGATTATTTTTCGATCCAGGTGTGCGTTTTAGCTTGGTAGCTGGAGGTTTGGCACCCACGTAGTTCGCAGCCACATCGACTTGACTCGATCGAGTTCGCTCCTACGTCAGTATCTGACTTCCGCATCTTGAATCATTCCATATCCTGTTTTTATTATTAAAGAATATCCAACTATCTATGTGAATGGATGTTCGTTAGGATGTTCAAGTCAAGCATGTGATGTAACCGGTCGCTTCGACTAACTCAGACTTGCAAACGAAGCGAACTCACACTTTGAATTCGAACATGAAAATTAAGCCATGAAATAACTTCTTATTCATACTTGCAATAAAAAAGTTTTTAAGACATTTCATACCTCCAGCCTACCGCTATTTGGATTTGTTCTCGGTAGCCCCGAGTTCAACTCCTCGACCGCGTTGTGTAAATAACCAACTGGTCGGCCTCCTACCAGTTGGGATTCTTAATAATTTGTGTTCTATTTGCGATATTTGGTTACAGTGTCTTCAATTAGGACAACAGTGCTAAATACATTTGACACTTAAATAAAGTTATTAGTTACCAAGCGTAAAAGCCGTCAATCTTTCAAGGTCGACCGATCGATCAGCAGGCTTTGTTTAACTTTATTACTGGACGTATCCTAACCTAACCTAACCTAACCTATCCTATCCTATCCTATCCTATCCTATCCTATCCTACCCTACCCTACCCTACCCTATCCTACCCTA